AATAAATAAAATCTTTAAAAAAAAAAAAAAGACTCAGAAGTCATAAGGATCATTTAGTTCTAGAAATGGACCATTGAAATTTAGCCAAATAGCCATATTAGTGTAACATTTCACCTATTGATCCATATATTTATGATAATATGCATACTTATCTTGGCATTTAGAAAAACTGGAATATGGTCTTGAATGTGTGAAATGTACATACTCAATTTTAATAAAAATTACAGAATGTGTATGAAACATATATAGGTAGGAAATACAACAAGAAGGTGGATAAAGACTCTAGATACCTTGCATATCTACAAGAAATTTTTAGAAGGCAGCAAAAATTAAGATTCTATAAATAAGAAAATGGAATGGAAAAGGGATAGTTTATATTAAAAGTAGATAAAATATATAACAGAATGTATAAAAATGGAAAGAAATTATTCAGTGCTCATTGGCCTGATAACTATCCTCTCCTTATTATCCACCATCTCTTTTCTCTAATGTACAAGACTGAAATATATATAAAAAAGTTTGTTCCTTAACAAACATAGAATAAAGCCATGCTGATTGTGCAAGACTGGACACATTTCTTTAATCTAACAATTGCTAGTATCTATGTTCATAAGTTGCCGTTATTAGAAGATGAAACATTTCTTTCTTCACTAGAATCTTGACATCACTGTTTCTAGTGTTTCATGAATCCATAGGTGCTTTTAATGCTTATTCCATTCTTTATATGTTTTAAAAGTGAAATTCATGTTTTCTGATAGTTTAAATTTGTACTTTTTTAAGGGAATAATATGTATACCCATATTTTAGTGTGTTTATTGTTAACAATTCTAATCAATTATAAAATGAAGGGTTTTTTAAAGTAAACTGAAGATTTGATGAAGAATTGATATATACTTAAGTTTCTATTTACATAAACAAAAGTGCTATAATCTTCAAAAATCTGATTTTCCAAAATTGTAACTCACTATGATAATTAGATAATAATTTCACATCCAAGCTTTGTTTATTATTAGGTAGAGAATTTTAGGTGCTTTTCTGTGCAGAGGATTCCAATTAGTTATGTAAGAAGGAAGATATAACCTTGAAGGAAAGTACTTACTCTGTAAGTTGCTGAAGTTGAATTTTTCAGTTGTCATGCATTTTTTGTCATTCACAAATGAGAAGTAACATAAGCTTATAAATGATGTCAAGGTAGAAAAATCATGATTCTGACTAAAAAGTGGATTATGTAGCAGCAGATATAAAACAGCATTTGTGTTCTTTCAAACTGTATTAATATTCTTGATAAGCTTTTGAACTCTGAACACATGTTTAGAATGCTAACACTGTTGTCAACCTGTCACTGCTTATTTGTAGCTAGCTTTTCTCTTGGAGTGGGGACAGACATTTGTTTTTCATGTGGTATGTCGGGAGTATGAACTGGAAAGACCTAAATCAGTAATAATATGTCAGCATGGATTTGACCGTCGGTTCTGTGAATCCAAGGTATGTTAACAAATATGTTAGCAGTATTATAAACATTTATGGATTTTTTTTTTTAAATTTGTCTTTTTTTTTTTTTTT